GCGTCCGCCGTCGTAGTGAGCGACAACGCCCGGTGCGCTGACGGATGGCGCGCTGCTGGAGCTGCGGGGGTCGGCGTCGTTTGCGTCCGGGTCGTGGCTGTCGGTGCGCGGCAACAGCATCAGCGGCAGGCTCCTGTCTGTGCCGTCGTACCCGCGCAGTGCAGAACTCGTGCAGAGCACGCTGACGCTCCACGGGAACGCTGGCAGCGGGCTTGTCGTGATGGACGGCACCGTTGCGCTCGTGGGCGCCGGCCGAAGGTTCGTCGTGGGGTGCCTGACGCTCAACGGGCAGGCGCTGCGGCCGTTCGACTACAGGTCCGCCGGCATCATCGGGGAATTCCGTCCTGTGGCGTGTGGCGTGTGCGACGCCGACGTGCGCTGCTTTGCTGCTGCGACGATGTCGATGTCGGGGTCGTGTCGCTGCCGCTGTGCTGAGGGCGGGTACGGGCGCGACTGCCTGCCGGTGTACCTGCCGCACGTGGACGGGTGCAACCGCACGCCTGGCATGCCGCCGCTGAGCCACACGGCGACGCTGACGGAGAAACGCAGCCCGACAACAACGTGGACACCGACACCAACACCGAGTCTGAGCGCGACGCAATACAGTCCGCTGCAGTACGTGCCGACGGAGACACTGCAGGTGACGGAGACGGTGGCGCTGCCGCCCACGCGGACGCCGACGGCGTCGGTGAGCAGCACGCTGTGGTGGAGCGACGTGGCGTGCCCGACGCTCGCCGTGACGACGACGGCGGCTGGAGGGAGCCTGACGCAGAACGAGATCCGCGGCGGTGGGAGCGCCGTCCCGACGCGGCTGATGGTGGCGCTGCCGCCACCGTTTCGTTGGGCACGCGACCCGCGGCTCGGCACGCACCTGAGCTTCGTGCCGGTGTTGATGGCGCAGCCGAGTGGGTTCGGTGGTCCGTGGGGAGCGATGCTGAGCAACGCGACGTGGGTGCGCAACGCGACGAATCCTTTCACCGTCCTGGAGCTGGCTGTGCCCGTGCACCGCGGTTACTTCATTGCTGCCGACGAGACGATAGTCATTCGGTGCGACGCTGTGGCGGTGTTTGGCGGCTGCAAGGGTGTGCTGCTTGGTTCCTTGACGATCAGGTCTGACACGCTGCCCGCCGCTGCCAGCGCCCTCTCGGCGATCACCGGCGTTGTTGCGGGTGCGGCGGCTGTTGCCGTGGTGGTGACCGGCGGGTTGGGCTCCATCCTTGAGATGCAGGCGCTCGGCGTGTTTGCGAGGATGTCATGCGCCTCGGCGCAGGAGCGTGCGAGCACCGTTGCGCTGCCGTACTTCCTGTCGGTGTTCGCTGCTCTTGACCCGCTGTGGATGGTGGTGGGCAACGCGCTGCTCGCCGCTGTGTTCGGGTGCGTGCACTGCGGTGTGACGGCGGCCTTCCAGCGGTGGCGCGGCGTGGACGCTGCGAGTGCGTGGGCTGCGATGCGCTTCCCGAGCCTGACGTACGTCGTGGCGCACGCGATGGACCTCGGCGTCTTCTTCGGCTCCGTGCTTTCACTGGCGATGCCCGACGCCTGCGTGCAGCACCGCGTGATTGGAGTTGTTGGCGTGCTGTACGGTGCGGCGTTCCCTGCTGGCGTGTGCTACTTGATTGCTCGCCACACGGGCGCGAGCTTCGAGAGGTACTGGCAGTTTTCGAGGAAGCCGCTGCACGAGCGCCTGCTGTACCCCGTCGGGTATTGGCACCCCGCGGCGCAGCAGCGGATGTACGGCAGCATGCTGACGAACATGAGAGGCAGCCACGTGTACTGGTGCGTGTTCCAGCTGTCGGTGCTGTGTGTGGTGGGCCTGATTGCGGCTGTGCACCCGCCCGTGGGAGGCTGCGACGTCCAGTACTTCTGCATGGCGACCGTGCTGTTTGCGGGCGCGGGCGTGGTTGCCTTCACGAACATGATGCGCTCGGCCTTCCTGACGGTGATGCACGCGGCGAGCTTTGTGCTTCTTGCGGTGCTGTGCCTTGTCAGCGCGGCCAACCATCTTGCGCCGAGCGACGGCGGTGCGAGGGCGTACGCGGCCATCGTGCTGCTGCTGACGACTGTGCTGCTTGCGGTCACTGTGTACGGCGTCGTTGTGTGGTACGCGGAGGACCGTCACTGGCAGGAGCTGCGCGAGCCGCGGCGTGGAGGGCTGGAGGCGCTGCTGCGCGATGACGAGGAGAGCGACGAGACACAGAAGCTCCACGACATGACGTCGTCGTCGTACGCCACAGGCACCACCGTTGCGTCTTACCAACCACCCGCAATGCCGTTGCAGCCCATGGCCGGTGACACCCGCTCAGACGCACAGAGCCTGCCGCAAATTGCATCCAGTGCGAGTCGCAGCGTTAATTGTGCCCCTCTGGACAGGTAAGGATGGTTCGCTGGATGAAAGATTTATCGCAGTTTCTCCTTTTGGGGGGCGTAAAGGCTCCGCCACTCAACAGCACCGTTACGCGTCGAGAATGCACAAAGCCCTTTGCAGGTGCGGCATAACGTGGATGCTTCTGGCAGGCATCTGCTTTCTTTTAATTATTCATTGATTGATTGGGTGATTTGTTTTTTTTATTTTACTTTATCGATTATCGACGACGACGGATTATCGAACTATCACGCTAGCCCGGGGTGGATGCGTAACGGGCGTGTGCGTGTGTGTTTTGCGCTCCTCGCTGCGGCGCCCAATATGGGGACTGGTGTCCCTTCTCATTCATATCTGTACTTAGTAACGAGGGCGTGCTCGACGATGGTGGTTGTGTGCGGGCCATAGGATGCATTCAGGAAGGCGTTAGGGAAAACAATCGATGAAGCCCTTCTGTGACGGGTCATCTCCTGGAGGTTGTGAGTGTGCGTTGCTGGCTGACATGAGGGAGGGTGTGGGGGCTACGGCTGTGCAGCTGCGCAGCCACCCATCGGACTCCGCTCCGAAAGCGTCATTGATTGTTGGTTTGTTTCTATTTTTTGTGCGGGCGCCTGCAATGACTCTCTCTCCTGTTCCACGAGGACTGTGTGGGATGACATGCCTGCCGCTCTTTATACTTCTGATTTTGTGTAGAAAGAGCAGCGAGAGAAGGAACGACGAATTATGCGGAGTGATGTATGTGTTTGTGGGTTTATATACTGGTGTATTCTTTTGGATCACTCTGGTGGTTCCTTTTCTCTCTTTTTACGTTGTTTTGAATGTGTCTCAGTATTTGCTTTAGGACGGCCACACACGGGTAGTTTGAGTCGCAGATGGTTTTTTGTGCTTGACGCCATTTCCTGTTAGATGCTGACGCGGCCACGTTCGTCAAGCATCCACTCTTCACAGCATGCTGCCTGGTATTTTGGAGTCATCCCCGATGTAACGCAGGCACCGCCGCCGTGGCACGCGTGGGATGTAAGATGGAAAACGGGAGAGCGAAATATATTGCGCTGCACATGTGTCTGCTGCATTAGTTCTGTTGAGGAGGGCTTCAATTTAGAAGAAGAGGGATCAGCATTGCACGATTTCGTGGCTTGGAGGAGTTATTACCCCTTATTATTATTATTCTTATTGTTGGTATGATCTCTGGTTCCCACCCGTGTCTGCCTCGATTGCTTCCCCTGAGTGGAGCTGCGCCATGGCCATCCTTTTTGGTTGTTTGCGGGAGGAAAAACACATTGCGAGCGACGAAACCACACGTCATGCATGCGGCGTCCAGGGAGGTACATATTTGAGGTGCAGTGCACATATGTGGATGTCAAGTGGGACGAAGCGGGGGGTTGAGTGCCCAACCGTCACTCCTTTTTCT